TTGGAAATTGATTATATTGGATAAAAACAAAGCTGCAAATTGTTTAAATTTGATAAAAGCAAAGCTGGAAATTAATTAAATTGGATAAAAGGCAAAATTAGAAATTCGTTATATTGGATAAAAATAAAGATGGAAATTGGTTAAATTGTATAAAAGAAAAAATTGTAAATTATTTATATTGGATAAAAACAAAGCTGGAAATTGGTTAAATTGGATGAAAGGAAAAATTGGAAATTGGTTATATTGGATAAAACAAAGCTGGAAATTGGATAAGTTGGATAAAAGGAAAAATTGTAAATTATTTATATTGGATAAAAACAAAGCTGGAAGTTGGTTAAATTGGAGAAAAGGAAAATTGTAAATTGGTTAAATATTGGATAAGAGACAAAAATGGAAATTAGTTAAATTGCATGAAAGACAAAATTGGACATTGATTATATTTGATAGAAGGAAAAATTTGAAAGTTTTGAATAAGGAGAGAATTGTAAATTTGTTGTTATTTTCTAAAAGAGGCAAAATTTGGTAACATTGGATAAAAGGAAATTATAAAATTTATAATTAAATGTATAAAACTTGATGTTAAAATTTTAATGTAATATTACTATTTTTAAAATTATAATTCCTTGATATAAGTTAATTTTATAAAATAAAAGAACAATGTCTAACAAAGGAGAAACTGTTAATTCGACTACTCATGATTTAAATATTGTTGTCACTAAAGGAGCAATGCTAAATAATGATCATATGTATGAATTTCAAAAGCTATTGGGAAGACAATCAAATTTTTTTTATAATATGAAAAATACTTTATGTTTACAAACAATTGATTTGATAGTTCCAATCGAGAAAAGTAAGCAGCACATTCAAATACATTTTAGTGGATCTTATAAATCTGGTCATTGGATTTGTACTTATTATGATGGAATGAGCCTTTACATTTTTGATAGTCTTAATAAGAAATGTTTAAATCATGATCAAAGAGATTATTTAATTAGATTATATCCATTTGAACCGCCAGTAGTTTTCACAGCTGTTGATCAACAACCAGAATACAGTCTTTCGTATGGAGTATATGCAATAGCATTTGCAACATCGTTGTTTTTTAATATTCTGCCTTACTCTGTCAATTACTATTATTGTAATATTAGAAATCATTTAATGTTAATGTTCGAAAACAATAGTTTATGTAAATTCCCCTCTGTACAACTTTCTAATAGTAGATCTTGCATAGCTGTGTATGACTGAAATTGACTTTTAAATGAAAAAGATATTCAACTTCAGTATGGAGAATCAAACTTTTCTAAAAACTCTATTAAAAAAGAAATTTCTTTCTCGAGAATAATATATGAAATAAATAAAGAAAATATTGCATCAACAACACTTAAACAAAGTAGGGCTGAAATTCAAAAAAGTTATCGTAAGAGGCAAAAATTAAAACGTAAAATTGATAATGAAAATTATTCAGATGAAGCATACACATCCATTTCTTTCCCGAGAATTATAAATAAAATAAAGAAAGAAATATTGCATCAAAAACACTTAAAGAAAGTAGGACTGAAATTTAAAAAAATTATCGGGAGAGGCAAAAATTAAAACGTACAATTGATAACGTAAATGATTAAGTGAAAAACACACTTTAACTAAGAAAAAACTTTAAGTCAAATCCAAAATAGAATATGCTGAGAACCTTAAATTAAAAAATAAAAATGGTGATACAAGTTCTTTGTCAAAAACAAAGAAAACTTGATGTCAAAGAAATTATTGTGAAGCCACAGTGGGCTAGAACCAACCAACTTTAAATAAAAAGTCTTGCAAAATGGTATTAGTATTTCCATCGTGAACTCTGTATACTTGAACCTCAATACTTGAGGGTTTTCGGGGTCATTCAACCTGAATTCAATGTTAGGTTATGAAAATTAGAAATGGCGGATCCAATATGGCGACCAAAAAGTTTAAAAATTGTTTAGATATACTTGAAACTCAATTCTTGGGGGTTTTTGGGATCGCTAAATCTGAATGCAATGTCAATTTTTGAAAATTAGAAATGGTGGATCCAATATGGTAAACAAAATTTTTGAAATAGTATGTGGATTTAATGGTCTCCATTGTTGAAATATTTTTTAACCCTTGGGCGGGCAAGCTAAAAAAATTACGTAAGTGGGTAAGCGGGGTCTATTGGACCCCGCTTTAAAAACGCTTACAAAAACGTAGATCTTTGTATATATTTTGTTTTCTTTTTATTATATTATTAATTTTAATGCATTAAATTTAAAATATAAAGATGATGATTAAGATTTTAAATTTAACGAACTGTTAGATTTGCGCAGTATCCTGGAAAATACACACACCGATCTGAGTGCAAGGCAGAATTAATTTGTGTAGGCGCAAATTTCTTGAAAGAAAAACACTATTTTGTTATTTGTATGTAACACACTTAGTACAATTTTTATCATTATGACATTGTGGGGACCTCTGGACCCCGATTGCCAGTTCGTGCTGGTAAAATGTTTTAATACCCACGTGACATTATTAACAGTTGGAATATGAAAACTGTAAAAATATTCAGATTATTCGGTGGTACTTTTAGTCTATTTAAGAGAATTTCTAGGATAAACTCATTTTTTTATACGGATTTGGAGAAATTTGAAAAAGAGATACTTGCGGAGACTAATGAACCTCGCTTTCCCGTCCAAAGATTAATCAAAGCAGTTTTAATAGATTAATTATTACAGTGCTATAATGTGTAAATAAGTGTTAATTTTAATTGTAAGTAATGTCATTATTTATATAATCTTATTTGTCTATTTTCTTTTTTAATAAAAATAATTCTTTCAAATACGGAAATTCGGATTCAGATTCAGCGATACCAAAAGCTCCGAGTAATGAGTATCAAGCAAATCTAAACAATTTTTAAACTTTTTGGTCGCCATATTGGATCCGCCATTTCTAATTTGCAAAACCTAACATTAAATTCAGATTTAGTGACCCCGAAAACCCTCAAGTATTGAGGTTCAAGAAGATCTAAACAATTTTTAAACTGTTTGGTCGCTAAATTGGATTAGACATTTTGAAATTCTTAAATCGAACATCAAATTCAGATTATGCGATCCAAAATACTATTGTACACTCATGAAATTTAAATTAAATTTTGTACTTTTTTTTAAAGTGCTTGTATACAGAGTTCACGATGGAAATACTAAAAATTACTTTTTTCAAAAACGGCCCGATGGATTATTTTAATTTTTATTGCAAAATACTCAGAGAGGTCTCCAGTGTTGGAATCCACAAGAAAAATCCCATTTTGCAAGACTTTTTATTTAAAGTTGGTTCAAGCCCACCGTGGAAGGAGTATTAACCACTTCGGCGGCATGGAATTCCAATTGGCGTTCCATGAGTAAGTGGCAGAAACGGCAAAAGTGCGAAAATGGCGTTCCTACTTGAACTCGATTTCAAAAGTTTGTAGTCAAGTTAAACTTTCCAAAATCAAATATTCTTATTATTTGAGATAAATGAAGACGAATAGGACAAGAAAAAATTATTTTTTCGAGGTGTTAAATAGTTTTATAAGGGTTTTAATGTAACCAATTTTTAATACTTTTTACGAATGGCGTTCCAACATTTACCCAAAATGGTTCACAATATTGGATCCGCCTATTTTTGAATTTTTGAAAATTAATTTAAGATTCATAATCTCAAAAACTATAAAACATTTGGTTTAGTAAACTTAATGTGTTTACAGAGTATAGAAATAAAGTTTAAATAGGAACGCCATTTTCGAATTTTTTTGCCGCTTCTGACACTTACTCATGGAACGCCAATTGGAACGCCATGCCGCCGAAGTGGTTAAAGCATCAAATTCAAAATGAGTTTAATGTTGAAAATTGTCTAGGTCCGATAAATAATTACTGCACACATTATCAAGCTAAACATTTTAAAGATAAAAAAGTCACTGGTAAAAAAGTTAGTTTTAATGACTGCTGTAGTCATGAAGGTGTTGTGTTAACTTTAATACAATATCCAGATGAATTAAGGCTTTCGTTAGAAGGGTTTAATAAAAAATCAGGTCATTTTAAAAAGAATATAAGGCTGTATAATAATTCTTTTTTTGCATCTTTAAATGCTAATGTAATTAATTTTAATGACAGAAGAAGAGGACCATTCTGTTACAAAATTCAAGGTCAAATTTACTATCAAATTAATAGTGCTTTATATCCGGATAAAGGTGAGGATCCATGTTTTGGTCAATTATTTATTTATGACCCTGAGGAATTAATCAGATACAGATTAAAAAGTAACGAAAATTTGGATGAAGACGGTTTAAAATCTATAGAAAATATTATGAGAAATTCTAATGCATACACAAAATCTCACATGATGATGTCAGAGCTAATTCAAATAGAAGCTGAATTAGCAAGACAAATAATGAAGAAATTCCTGAGTTACAATTATTGTTCACGTTGAAAAAAAGCTTTGATAAAAATAGATACAATTCTCAAAGTTTTAATGAAGTTGCTGCAATTTTTAATGCAGACTCTGAAGGAGAAATACCAGAATCTTATGAAACGGTTTAAAATAAATCTACAAAAGAATTAAAATTGGTTAGTAATTTAGATCCGAATGTTGAACCATGGATTTACCCCATATTTTATCCACTTGGAAATAAGGGTTATAATATTAATATGATTCGTAGTGATAGTGATTACAGAATTAGAAATCATACTATTTCTAGGTCTGCCTACATTAAATACAAAATTGCTGTAAGAGATAAAGAATTTAATCAATTTTTATATGGAGGTAGATTGTTTAAACAATGGGTTGTTGAAAATGATGTAAAAATAGAAAAAGATAGATTAAGATTTTGTGAAAATAATCAAGCTCAAGTGAGAAGTGAAAGATATAAAGGACTGATGGATTATTTACTCAATCACGTGTTGGAAAATGATGTACACGTGTGAAAAACGCTTATATTGCCTTCTACTTTTATAGGATCACCTCGCAATATGATGCAACAATATCAGGATTCGATGGCTATTGTTGCTCGTCATGGTAGACCAGATTTATTTATCACAATGACGTGTAATCCAAATTGGAAAGAGATACAGGAAAATTTATTCCTCCATCAAACTGCTGCTGATAGACCTGATATAGTAACTAGGGTTTTCGCATTAAAAGTTAAACATCTACTTAAACCTATTGTTGATAATAAATTATTTGGAAAAGTCAAATCTTATGTTTATGTTATTGAATTTCAAAAGCGAGGATTTCCACACATTCATTTGTTAGTTATATTGAAAGATAATTCTAAAATATTAACAGTTAAAAGTGTTAATCGTTATATTTCTGCAGAAATTCCTGATGAAAATATGAATCCTATTTTACATAAAATTATCATGCAAAATAATATTCAACAAAGAATTCGTAAAGTAAAAGTATAGGGAAGAATGTATTCAGTTAATTCACATCAATTGGAGTTATTTCATCTTAGATTATTGTTGCTTACAGTAAAAGGAGCAACTTCTTTTGAAAGTTTGAGAACAGTTAATGGAGTTGTTCATGAATCTTTTACAACTGCTTGTTTGGCATTAGGACTTGTAGAAGATGATAGTGAGTGGATTAGGACAATCGAAGAAGCGATCATTAATGGCAAGAATTATTTTCTAATTCTTTTCCTTTTTTGTGTTTAGGTATCGGACAGACTGGCAATGCATATTTTGATGGCAACGGTAGATGCTTTATAGATTCCCTCTGAAAATTTAGTCCTGAATCGAACTTCTTTGCAGCAATTACGTGAAACAAATCGACACTATCAGTATGGTGAAGCAAAATCTGAGTTCATTGACAACGTACGTATCACACGTACATGTATATCGTATAAAGTATACTGTGTAATTAAGTTAATTTATTTTTGTCTTTTTTTCATGAATTAGTTAAGTAACAACAATCGTTTGGTGGTTCACTGGGATGGAAAAATTTTGGCCGATTTAGTCGGTAGATTCAGTGTGGATCGAATAGCAGTTACTGTTAGCTACAATGGAACGTCTAAATTTTTGGGTGCTCCCAAAATTGAATCGGGTACCGGTGAGAATATCGCTCAAGCCGTTTACAATACTCTAGTGGAATGGGAAATTTCTGGAAATGTTGTGGCTGCAAGTTTTGATACTACTTCTTCAAACACAGGCCTTGAACGGGGTGCTTGTATTATTTTAGATGACTTCCTTGATCGAAAACCGCTTCGTTTTGCATGCCGCCATCACATCTGTGAGATTTTACTTAAAGATGTTTTTGAAAAAAAGTATGGTAAAAGCAATGCACCTGAAACTTTAATTTTCAATCGATTTGCGGATATGTGGCATAATATCGAACAAGGTCAATTCAATTACGGTATTGATGATCAAATTGTTACCTCAAAAATTTCCGACGATGAATGTGCAGAAATAAAACAGTTTTGCCGAAATCAGCTGCAAAAAAGTCAAATCCGCGGTGATTATAAGGAACTCTTGGAGCTTACGATCACATTCCTTGGTGAAAATGTCGGTCCATTTCGAACATGTGGTGCAACATCTCACGCAAGATTTATGTCAAAGGCAATTTACTGTCTGAAAATTTTTCTATTTCGTGACCAATTTGATTTGACTGCAAGAGAACTTAATTGTATTCGAGACATCTCAATTTTTGTAGTTAAACTTTACATCAAGGCCTGGTATGGATGCACGAATCCCATTGAATGTCCTAATCAAGATTTGAATTTTTTGCACGAAGCTTTCGACTTTTCCAAAATCGATAAAGTTGAGTCTCAATCGGTAATTGAGAAGTTTAAGAATCACTTGTGGTATTTGACTCCAGAAACAGTGGGACTGGCATTTTTTGATCCAAATGTTTCATTTGATATCAAAAGAAAAATGGTTAATCGTCGGAAAGCAAAGAATCCTACAGTGGTTTTGATCAAACACCGAACGTTTCCAAATGTGCAACATTTGTTGACTTGCGATTTATCTGATTTTGTTTCGCACTAAACAAAACTTCTCTTCTCCAATTTTGAAATTCAAACTGAATTTTTCAAACTGGACCCATCGTTATGAAAAGATAATGAAGAATATCAAACTGCTTTGGAATTCTTTCAAAATTTATTCGTAGTTAATGATGCTGCAGAACGTGGCGTTAAATTTATGAAAGATTACAATCGTATTTTAACACGCGACGAAGAAGAGGCTCAGTTCATACTGCAAGTTGTAGACTTATATCGGAAAAAATATCCGTCACATACAAAATCGTCATTGACTGAACAATCTTAAGCGCTGTAATTTGTTTCTCGTTTTAATTCAAACGATAAATATACAATTACATATAAATATTAGTGTATTATATTAAAGTCGCAATTTATATTGTAAAAACATTTAAAAAACTGCAAAATTGCAATAAAATCTCTTTTTCTACAATATTAATACGTTTTTTGGGTCCATTAATTATTTACAGATCGACTTTATTATTTTTATATTTATTTCTCTAGATAAAAAGGAAACTTTTTCTGCCCGGCGCTCATTGATATCGCCAGATTAAAAAATATCTTAACAAATCGCGGCCAGGCTACTGTACATCCGGATAAACTATATATGGGAACAATTTTAGGGTCAAATGTCAGAAGATTATTAAAAAATAAACGACATTGAAGCTGAACAAAGGGCTTGTAGAAATATTTAAACAATGTTATTTAACGAAGGATATAATTTAACTGACTTTCAGGGGTTATTAGATATACAAGATTAAATTTTTACTGAACAAGTTAATAATATAAATATTGCAGAACATATTAACGTAGAAGAACAGAATTATGCTAAATTAAATGTAAAACAAAAAATTATAGTTGATTATGTACTTTATGCCCTAAAGGATTCTTCTTTTGATGGTTCTATGTCAATTGTTCAGAATTAAAAAATTTAAAAATTTAAAAATTAAAAAAATTTAAAAAAATTTAAAAATTAAAAAAAAAATTAAATTAAAAAAATTAAAAAATTAAAAAATTTGTGTAAATTTAAATTTATTATTATTATTATTATTAACTATAATAATCTTCGAATTCTTTCATTCAGTCTGTCCACAGCCTGTATATTCTGTCCACAGTGAGAGAGAAAGGTTGATAGAGAGAAAAAGAGGGAAGTATCGCCTGTCCTTTTAGTTTAGAGTAGGAGCGAAAGAGAGGCGAATATTATTATTATATCTATATATATTAAGTTAGTCTTTCCTTATACATATATTCTGTTCACAGTGAGAGAGAAAGAGAGGGAGGGAGGTATTGTCTTTCCATTTAGTTTACAGTAGGAACGAAAGAGAGACGAATAGTTAAGAAAGTAATGCCCACTTTTTGGGTTTAGAAGGGGTATCATGTTTTCTCCATTTTACGTGTCAGGTAGAAAGAGAGGAACAGAATTTGATAGGAGAAGGAAAAGTGGGGAATTTTACTTTCAAGCCAAAATACGAAATGGGCGTCTTATTTCTTTATTGGCTAATTATTTTTCTTTCTTCACTCACAGATAGATTAAGGAGTAAAAGAAAGGGAGATCGAGAACAAGGTATGAGTGAGAGGTATAAATTTTATCGTTGTTCCATAAACCAAATGGACAATTTTTCATCAATTTTTAAATCCCACCCCGCCTCCAATTGTGAACAATCGCAAATATTTAAAAAAACTAATTCGTATAATTATTTAAGATTAAATTATCTTCGAACAATGGGTAAGGCTTTCTGAAGTGTACCGATGGTTTTTCAAGCCTATTACGCGCTGTAAAAAAGACATGGGGCGTGCAGTTTCGCGGGCGGTTGCACTGTCGTGTTACATGCGTTGAATTGGTTTCAATTTGTTAGTTAATGCTTTATTTATTAAGCATTTGGTACATAATTTCGAAAATTTTAATAAAAATTAAATTAAAAATGGCGGATCCAATATGGCGAATAATATGGCGCTTAACAAAAATATAGCTTTATTTTGTAAATAAAATGCGGGCCCAGACATTTTTTTGGTAATGGTTCCTCATTTTACGTTTGCAAATCATGAGTACATTTCAGAAAGCCTTACCCCAATGTAAATAAAAATTTATGAATATTTACTTTTTGGACTCACTGAATTTTTTGAGAAATTATGGTCCTGTTCATAATTAAAATTCTACAAAAATTTGATCATTTTTATTAATATTTTTTAATAAAATTCTATTATTTGTAAAAGATTTTACCAAATTTTAAATGTTTTCTTTAAAAGAGTTTTTGTATAATTAAAAAAAACTAATTAATTTTTTGATGAATGTCAATTAAAATTTTAAATATAAATTTTTATTCCAAAATTTTAAAAATAATTCTAAAATATTATTTTTGTATGTATTTAGATTTTTGAAAATATAAATTAAAAATACTGAAAATATTGAATTTCTAAAAATTAGAAGCTAATTTTCATGTTTAAATTGGCCTTTAAAGACTTTTTATTCTTTAAGGGGACATTCCAGTTCAAAATGTCAAAAAAATCGATTTTTTTGTTTTTATTTTCGGATTTCTTACAGTGTCAAGAATACTCTCCTAAAATATTATTGCAAAATTCGGAGTAAAACAAAAGTTATACATCCTTATTCTTCGCCATGTCAAAGATGTTTTTGTATGCGGATAAGCAATCGAATGATTTAAATGTTTTCTCATTTGCATTTTTTAAAAAAGACAAACAAAAATGTATTTGGTGTTTCTAATCACAAATTAGATATCAAATTTTCAAAATTCAAAATGTCGGATCCAACATGGCGGAAAAGAAAATTTTTTTATTTAAATTTTTTTTTCGTCCACCATATTGAATCCGCCATTTTTAATTTTAAAAAAAGAATGTCCGCCATATTGGATCCGCCATTTTTAATTTTAAAAATCTGATTCAATATTCGTAATAAGCGATCTCGAAAACCCCCGAGTAACGATTTTCAAGCAAATCCGATGATTTTTTTTTAAAGTTCGAAACTTATGAACAAAAACTTAAAATGCGTTTTCCTCAAAATGTCTTTTTTTGATCTGGTAAGAGTGATATCTCGAGTTCTTCTAAAGCGATTTTAAAAAATCAAACGGCTTTTGATTCAGCGTCATCATGCCTATAAGTGGAACCTCAAAAACTGGAAAATTTCCAACTTTCTTTATTTTATAAGATAAATTCTGAATAAAAACACCTTTTTTTGCATATTTTGGGGAAAAAGTACTCTAAAAAATAGGGTGGGAAAAATTCTACTTTTTTGAGGTTCCACACCTAAAGAAATATCTAACGAAGAGAATGTCACTTCGTTTTTGGTTTTATCGGTTATAGAAAGTTTGGAATCGATCTTACCACCGAAAATAGGCATTTTCGAAAATGGCGTATATCGCCGCCATTTTGAAATAAAAATGAAAAAATTTTTTTTTACAAATTCTTAAATAAATTATTTATTACATGTAAAAGAAATTCTTTAAATAAATCTCATAGTTATTTTAATAATATATACTAAAAAAGCCTTCTTTTTGCCTGTTTCGAACTGAAATGTCCCCTTAAAAATTAATTTTTTATAATTATAACAAAATACTTAAAAAAATTAATTATTTTTCAATTTAATTTCACAAAATATCAACTGTTACGTATAAAGTACCTAACAGCTATTTCTTTAATAATATCTTATTATCGCTACAGAAGTTTAGACAGAAATTTGTCGAATGAGTATTCTTTTCATATTACAGTATATTGTATATAAATTGCTCACAAATTTATAACCAATATTAATGCTCTATTTCTGTTTTAAAATTTATACAGTACACATATTTTATAATTTAAAAAGCAAAATATAATTCCATTTGAGAAATAATTAAATGTATGGCATCCACTGACTCTGCTGACTACGAGAACTAATACAACCTAGTTAATTAGTAAATAAGTTAAAGTATACGTAAACAAGTATTAACAAGTAAAAACAAGTATAACAACCAATTTTGGTTTATTTCACGTGAGCGGTCTTGTTTTTTGACAGAGTACTTGCCTAATGTCAAATAAATAATTTTTAAACAAATAAACCCAAAAAAACGAAAAATAAAAAAAACTTAACAACATGTAAGAATACATTTAACTTTTCGCTCCAGAGTGCGTTTTTGGCGTTAACAACAAATATAAAAAAATCTGACTAAAGATATTAAGCAAATTCCTTTAAGTATCTCTTCAGGGGACCCAAATAATAAACTAAAAAAAAATTGGAAATTATAAACAGTTTCCGACCCATGGGTCGGTTGTGAAAAAGTATAGCCATAACTGTTTCCGACCCACCCGTGGGTCGTGTTCACTATCACTCAAAATAAATAAAATTTGTATAAAATGATAGATATTTTTCTTTATATCAATATTATAAGAAATTAAAAGGGTAATTAATGATATTTTAGAAAATAATTGAATAATTAGTTATAATTTAATTGTATTATACTATTTGAAAAAGTATCAGATTCCGCTGGGCATTTTGAGACAATCATGTTGTATTTTCCTCAAACAGTTAAGGGGTTAAATAATCGATTATTGAATAGTTATATTTTTATTCTACTACTTTTAAATGTAAGTTGGTTATATTAAAATGATCTTGTGTAAAAAATGATGACTTCCTTGTAAAAATTAACAATATGAGGCATTTGTTAATTAAAATTGTTTAAATAATTTAAAGGTGTTATTTTATTGTTTTAACTTTAGAATGAAATATGTTAAAGATTTTATTAGTAAACTGCATAAAAAATAAAGAATTACCTATAAGATAAACAATTCTATTGTTTATTTGTTTATTAAAAATGCTTAATTAATTAGGGTAAGGGTACCCAAGATGGCCACCCATCTTTTGAACGACTGTAAATAAAATTTAGGCAATTTTTGAAGAACAGATGAAATTTCGACTTTAAAAAAGTGTCCCCAAACCGTTTTTAACGATATTTCATTATTCGACGCTTGTTAGGCAAGCTCGTGGTAAATTCTTACGTAAGAAGGGGGAGGGGGGGTCCGAGAAATCTTATGTATCCTTACATGGGGGAGGGGGGTCAAAATTGCCTAAAATCGTCCTTACGTAATTAATGAATGGCCACACGAAAAAGTGGCAATTTTTTAAAGTAAGTCGTAAAAAGTCTCGATTTTCTTAATTTCCCTGAAAACTTTTTTTATTCCACATGCACAAAAATGGCGCTTTTAGATAGCTGATGACTTGTAAAGTCATTTGTTTGTTCGACCGTATGAAAATGGCGATTTTTATTCCAAGGGCAAAGAAACAGCTGGTCCCATGCTTTTTTTGCCCAAGGTAAAAAAGGCCGCCATTTTCATACAAGTCGAACAAGTGAATGACTTTTACTCCCTGTCGTCTGCTATCTGAAATCGACACTTTTGTGCA